CAAATCATGATCAGCTTGCCGTAGCTCATCGAGGCTCGCCCTCCATCGTTGATATCTGACCGCGCGCCACGAAATTCACGAAACCATACCAACCTTGAGTGCAGAAACTCGCATCTCCCAAATTCCCGAAAAAATTCACAAAAAACTTAAATTTTTCCCTATTCCCTTACTCTTTTTCCATCGCCATCTCAGCCCTTTCCGCCTCCCGCTCCGCCTTCAATTTCATCGCTCTCTGCTTCATCTTCTCATTCTGCTCCTCGACCGTTTCTCGACCCTCTTCCAGTTCTCTCGCATACATCGCTCTAACACACGGCACATTTTTCCGCAAAAAATACAAAATTTTCCGAAATTTTCCGAAATTTTCCTAAATTTTCCTAAATTTTCCTAAAAATTCCCCAAATTTCACTCGCCTCTTACTCTTCGCTCTTCAGTAGTTCCGACAGCTTCGCTCGCCTGTGATGCAGAAACAGTTGCCGGCGCTTCCGCAACTCCTCGATGCACGCATGCACTCTTTGACGTCTATGTAGCTGAAAATATTCCTACTCTAGCGCTGGGGTGAATGTATTCAATCGCCTATTACCAACAGAATTTACTTCCAATACCGTTGAAGATGCACAAGAAAAAAATTGATGTAAAGAATGAGCGTTTTCTATTCCGGGATTAATAATAATGATGAATAACTTGTCGCTATCACAACACATGTTCATAGCATTATTTTATGCGATATAGTTTCACATCGATTCTCATTAATTTCGAAAAAAATCGCATATTTCCCACATTTGCATACCAAATTGACATCAACTCCTCCTTCCCACCTGGCCTCCTTTATTTTCCCATTCAGCTAGTTTCTGCAACGATGAGTTTTCCACTGCAGCACTGATACGCTCTTCGTACCTTCACCACAGACACCTCCAGTGTGCGGGGAGAGGGCAAAAATATGCATATTTTCAGCCGCATCTACTGCTGGTAATATGAAAATTATGGGAGGAAATTCCGGTAAATTCTCATTAATTTCCGAACATTTCTACCCAAATTCGAAATGTTAACTCCTATAATTAGCTTCAAAACTCCCGAGCTCAGTAGCTGAGGAAAGCGGACATATTCTTCCATCACGCAACCCTACAGCCTATCCTGCTTCTGTCGCTGTAGAATGAGGCGATCTGGACGCAGACGTGGCATGATGGGAATAGAGGCAAACACGCTGAATGAGGAAGATTTTTAAAAGGGGGATGTCCTGGGATTTGAACCCACGGTCTCAACTAAAGCTTCAGGTAATTATGCAGAGTAAAAAGATATCATCACCAGACTTCGCAAAAACACTTTGCGACGGTCCCTGGTTCGATTCCCAGCACGAGCTCCTTGCGGGCATCGCATAATCAAGATAATGAGAGTAATGGAATTCCAGGATCGTATCTGCCTCTTACACTCTGTGTAGTCGTTGAGAATTACTCGAGTAGCAAACCAGCGAGCAGAGAATGCGCGAAATAACAGTTTATTCCAGCCTCCGCCCTGAATACCGTCTATCCCGCCGTCCCCCCTAACACCAGGCCCACCCCTATCACGAGAAACCTTTTCATCAGTCATCCCTTCTTGCCGTGCCTCTTGCCCTTCTTCCCCCTCGACACTTCCTCCTTCACAACTGCGTGGCCCATCTCCTTTATATGTGCAAACAGTTTACTTCGACTCGTAAAACTGATACAAAAAACGTCATCCGAAACTACAGCGTTGGAATATATGTCCACTTCACTCAGCTGAGCTTAGGAGTTTACTCACTGACTATACAAATCCGTTAACAAAAATTTGCCAAAATTTCATCCCACAATTTTCATATTGTCACCAGCACATGAGGCTGATCATATTCATATTTTCCCACACTCTCCGCGTTCACTAAAACCAATTTCCAATACAGTTTCACTCGAGTGAATTAAAAACTCTAATGAGAAGCATATTCCAAATCTTCAGGCCACATAACGCAATCTTGT